CAAAATATCGAAAAATATCGAAGTATATTCTAAAAAGCGTCAAGAATTCCACACTTTTTAGGCTTGTATTTCCTCAAGTCAATTGTTTCTTCCAACTTCGCAAATTCAACATGCTAGCATTGTTTAAGTGTATAGCCTATACATCTTTAACTGTCGGAGATGTTAACTCGCATTGTCGTAAAATTCAGAAACGTCATAACACGAAAGTATAATAATTACAGTTTATGAACACAGTTTTATTATCAGTGTTCCTTTATCAGTCAACCAATGACTTCGTTTTATTATAGAGCTACGCTCATTATCACGTTTCCCCATTAGTTAATGATCGCGTTTCGTGTCTCGTACTATCTTATCGTAAATAAATTAGTCCCGTGTACAAACTTGTTTGGAATATACAAGCGTCTCAGTAATTACGATTAATTGTCATTAAGATATCGCGATGTTAATGGTAATAGGCGGTACGTCCGTTTATAAAGCTCGTCGAAACTTTTTCTTATGGGGTAATAAATTTTTTCGATGGCCCAAGGAACCGTACGAAAGTGGCGCACGTAATTCGAGATGGTTCGTGCGTATTGCGAACTTTTCCCATGAAGGAGGGATAATAATTCTAGTCGTGGTCTCGGAGCGCGGGCTAAATTTTGGATCGAGAACGCGTAGAAGAAATTTCGAATTGAGAGGTCGTAAAAACGTAGTAAACGTTGAATGTTTGGCCAACCGAGTTATTCGTATTCCGTGCGCCTAGCGTAGTTCTGTCCAAAGTTTTATCCCTATTCGGGGCGAATTGCTCGAAATTTTCGAATAGTCGCACAATTTTTCTACGGGAGCATATTTTTCCTGGAAGTCACACCGGAGTCCGATCAAATATATCTTTTTATCGATAGTAAATCGTTCAGTAAAAATAGAGCGATCAAAGATTCGATAGTCGCTACTTAATGGTAGCGAATTTTTCGTCTCCCCGTGGAACTCGTGACCGTCACGCGAGACGATGATACGGCTTGTTCGTCACGTAATGACTGGTGCTTTTTAGCTGTACGTAGGAAACAGTGTGTGCAAGCATTACGGCAGTCGCTTTGTAAGCGGGACGCATACAGATCGAAGTAGTAATTGTACATGTACTTGTTTCCCCCTCGTTTATACTAATTAGCCTTTCGTTAGACGGACGCGACGGCGGCGGAGTGAAATTTATTGGAAAGGGAAATGCGAACATAATTTATTCCACGCGACCGACATGAAACCTAATGACTGTTAAAGATGTACCTTCCTCCTGGAATATGCATGAGCTCTGGCTCCGACCGTCTGCAACTGATCCGTCTGAAAAATATCCAGCGTGGGAAATCGGAGTTCCGCGAGCTAATTGCCCGCTGGTGGCGACCGGACGTTCCCACCAAAACTCGAAAGTATCGAGCTTGTCGATCCGACGCGCGGAAAGTGTAATTATCAAATTAGCCCGCGAGAGATGCCCCAATAACCCGATAACGATTCGATAGATGTCAAACAAATACGTGTGCAGATGCATTGGCTGTTGTCTGAACGGTTTCCAATTTCCTGCACAACATTTGTGATGCCCCTCGTATCACTTCTAAACCTCGTCCGACCACCCGACGTGTATCAATTAAATCGCATTTAAAAATTAATACATCATTTTCTTTTCTCACATAATTTATTTCGACAACGTTGCTCTTATCTTACTTCATTACTCCGTTCTGATAATTTTATTTCGTAAAATCGCTAACTTCTAAAGTCTATAGATATAGTATAAAGAAAAGGCAGCTATAGGATTAGGATCTAGCATGTAAAGGTTACTAAATAAACAAGATAATTCTCTTCTCGTGAGAGACACAGTTCCGGTTATGAAGATGCATCTCCTTTACGTTGGTCCCTCAGCGACATTTTTCACCCCCGACAGCGAACCGACCAATAGGGCGCAGCTCCTCCGCCCTTTATCGAGATGATAAAATCGGGAGACGTCCCGGACTGGATATTAATGCGATGCAGCGTACTAAAATCCCTCGTCGACCGCTTAAACGATCGTTCGCGAGTTTCACATTAAACGGTTTAGCGACGCGTGTGCGCGCCTGTAATGCGTCGCAACGATAATGTCGCGACGTGAGCGTCGCGTCGTCGTCGTGCCGCGATCGAAGCACTTTAGCCGGTTGCTGCCGGGGCGAACCACCCGCGCCCGCTCTCACCCCTCGTACAGTTTGCACCTTCGCGAAATATGGGAAACCGTTGTCTATGACTCTATGATGCCCCCTCGTCGCGCGATTTTCCCAGATACCCCCGATAGATTCGACCCGTTTAGCATGATCGATAAACTGAACAAAGACGCTAACTACGTGACACTTTGAAATATTAACATAGTAATTCATAGATAAGACTGGAAAAGAGTCAGAGGGGATTCAATTTTGTCGCGTTTACAAGCGTGCCGTGAGTCGGTTACGTAAGGGGACGAAAGCGGCACGAAGGCCCTTGTTAAATGATTAATAATATTAATTTGATCAACGAAAATTCGTGCGCCGGGGAAGAGTCCGCG